ACTATCCCTTCTTTACTGTCAACAAACAATCACCTTTAACTCCTTTCTGTGGGTAGAGACTTTCTTTCTTCCCACTCCCCCTCCTCACCCACCCATGTCTCTGAAGGAAGGGTCTGCTGGTCTGCAGATCTGTATAAAGGCCCCCTCGTGTAGAGAAAAGGGTTTGCTTTTGGCACCTCCTTGGAACTAAATAACCAGTCCTCAATCAAACTAATATCTTTACCTGGTATTTATACAAGCCTGCATGGTTTACAAAATATTTATATGGAATTTTACATATTACAATATGTATATAAGCAGTATGCCCAGGACTACTTAGCTGGTAAGTGGAGCTGACAAGACAAAAAGGTAGGTCTGCCAGCCATAAGTTTATATGTCTTTTGGAGAGAGGAAGGAAGGGATTGTCACTCTATTGCCTAGGCAACTCCTCAGCAGTGGGTTCCCTGCCCTCTTGCCCGCTACACAGCAGCTCAGGGTAAGAGAAGTGAATTAGGAATCAGAAGGTCCAGAGTCTGTTTTCTGTCCTGCCTAAAGGAAGCTGTATGGCCTTAGGCAAGTTACTTCAGACTCTCTGAGTCTCTGTTTTCTCACCTGTTAATTAAAAGAAAATCTCTACTATTTCTATTAACCAAGAGTTGAATTATCTATAGTAGGAAATCTCAAAATAAGATCGATCCACTTTTATGAGTTCTATTCTAGGTCACAACATCGCCTGATGAATTGGAGTCCTTCCTGCTCAGTAAAGAAAATTCAAGTTGCCAGAATTAGCCATTGCAACCACTGAGAAATTTACCATAGATACCAGTGTTCAGGGTAACTGTGTTTCTGACATTTTAAAATCTATTACATAGACTTGTGTAGATAAAATCTGTAGGAAAAATAAGAAATGCTTTGAAAAAGATTCCCCATTCTCTGCAAATTATCATTCTTGTTAACCACCTCAAACTATTTAGGAAAGTCAGTGAGTGCACAGAACAAAAGAACAAGCACTTTTCCCAGTGGAGAAAACCATTAGTCATCAATCCTAGATTTAAAAAAACAAGTTTCCTTATATTCTACCACTGATAAATAATGACTCAGTTATGATTACTGGGGAAAAATATGGACCCATGTACCAGACACTAGAAGAGAGGACTCAAATCTCTGTAGGAAGACAACATAGTTATATATCTCTAGGATGATTCCAGAATTACATTTACTGAAAAGATGAAGCAATTCCATTTTGTCATGGTGGTTTTTTATCTTGAGGAAAATAATATGTTAATGAAAAAATATCCAAAATGTTTGTCTGTATTATATGATCCACACCATCTTACATGAGGCTTTGTGGGGAGAAGCTTCCAGCCTCTTAGCCTCTTGGGGAAGTGCTGTGGTTCAGTCTGAAGTCTGTTTCATTCATTATTAACATAAATGGTCGACATTGGTTACTCGGGCAAAATATACTTGAGAATACATAATTTTGCTTTTCCTGGTGTGATACATTTCTCTCCCTCCCTCTCTCTCTCTCTCTCTCTCTCACACACACACACACACACACACACACACACCATACACACACATTTGCAGAACATATCTACTAAATGTCTGTATTTAAGTAGATCTCTCTTTTTCTCCTCCAGTCTCTCACCTCCACTTGTATTGATTAATTCCTTTCCATTTTTTTCCCCTCAGCATAAGAAGAGAAACAAAATAACTTTAAATTCAAGTATCACGCAAAGAGAACATGTAAAAATCATGGTATAATGCATCTTCAAATTTGCGTTTAAAATCTAGAATTAGCTGTATGGCAGCTTGAAAGCACTTAGGTGGAAGGACAAGAAATATCGATGGTCTAAATACATGCTTTATTTTTTCCTAGGGTAGAAGAGTGATTTCACAAAATAGTCACTGCTTAACCTACCACAGTTTACTGTGTTCAGACATCACTGCTTCTAACTACTGGATCAGGGCATTAAATTTTTATGCCCAATCTCACAGAAATAACTGTTGCATTTTTGCTCAAGAGTCAATATTATTCTTTTTACAATCAGTGAAGTAGGCTGCCTTATTGGAATGGACTGTAAGTATGCCTTTATCGCTAATCAGGAAGAGATGAGGTGAGAGTCTGCCTGTAGACATAAGGTTATGGTATACTCAAGCTCATTATATTGTATTACCAAGAAGTAGTTTTGAGATATTAATTGTGCTTGCTACATGTGCTACTTTTCATAAGGAAAAAAAAAAAGCAATTATTGGACAAGAATTTTCTACTCCCTATAAAGGTGAAGATGTTTATAGCCTACGACCAGAATGTCATTCTCCTAAGAACTGATGCTAGAAAAACTCTTGCCTCTGCGTACTTAGAGACTCATTCTCCTAAGAACTGATGCTAGAAAAACTCTTGCCTCTGTGTACTTAGAGACATGTACAGAATGTCCTTGGCAGGTATGTATGTAATAGCAAAACACTGAATCCAAATATCTATCGAAACTATACTGAATAAATAAAATGAGGCTTATTCATACAAGGGATATTTGCATGTCCCTTAAATAATAAATAAATGAATTCAAATTCATGTGACTCAGGAACATATATGTTGAATGAAAAAGCAAGCCAGAGAAGAATACATGTAGTATAATTCAATTTATATAAACTTCAGAGACATGCAAAACATAACAATATACTTGGCAGGGATTAAAACATATGTGGTAAAACTATCTAGAAAACCAAAGGAATGTTAAATTCAAATTAGATAGTGGTTACCTCTGTGTGGGAAATAGAGAAGATGGGATTAGGGAAGATAATACAAGGATTCAGAAGTAATTATCATGTTGTTTTTCTCAAATTGGATGGTCGGTGTTTATTGCATCTTATTTTGTTATACCGTTACATATGTCTTATGAACCAACTTTTTTAAATGGCATAATTTATTGATTCTTTTTGCTTCCCCAGAATTTAACTTTATGGTCCAAAGCTAAGAGCAGAATGATAGCAATCCAAACCAAATTTAGCACTATAATTTGGGGTAGGAATCAACCATTATCCCTTGACACTTAATCTAACAGGTCGACTTTGTAACAATGAATTGGCATTTAATGATTTTTCTACATAGCAAGCCTTTCAGTTTGTTCAGTGATTGACAATGCTAATTATAGAAGATTGAGAGCACTTTCTTCATAAAACTGTGTTTAGAAATCTGTTTTTTCAGTATTCTTTCTTTCAAACCAAGGAAGCAAGAAACATAGCAAAAGGCAAAACTTCATAAAATTAGTCCTAACCCAATCGAAATGCTAAAGTATACAAATATCGACATCTATAAATCATTTCCACTCTGCCAGTCACAGAACTAAGGTGGTAGTGTTCTTCCTTTTAGGAGGAGAACTAAGGAAGCTTTGGACGGTGCACTTTCCCAAAGTTCAGAAATAATGTATGAGAACTGAGGAGAGCTAGAGGGTGGTAAGCATTGGGACACCTAAGGAAGCATACTGGAGATCCACCCAACCCAGACTGGGAGTTCATGAAAGGATCTCCAAGGGAGAAGCCTCTCAGCCTGATGCTTAAGAATGAATAGAGGGACTTCCAGTCAAGATGGCAGAGTAGGTACACACTGTGCTCTCCTCCTCTCATGACCACATCAAAATTTCAACTAACTTATAGAACAACCACCCTTGAGAACCACCTGAAAACTAGCTGAACAGAACTCCTATAACTAGGAATATAAAGAAGCCACATGGAAGATACATAGAGAATATAGCCTGGGGGAAGAGGTTTCCAGCCAGCTACAGAGAGGTGTTGAGTTTTGGGAATTTAAAATTTCCCTGCAGAGATCTGCAAAGATGGTTTGACTAAAGTTATATGTTAGACTTAGATTCCAGCCTCCCCACATCATTGTTTCCCAGTGGACACTGGGGACAGCACAGGGTGAAATTAAGAGTAAGAGCTGTGGAGTCTGAGACCAGGACTGAATCCTTGTCTGTCTTCAATGTCACAGACTAGCTCTCGTTTCAGATTAAATGTTCAGTTATTATTACTAATCTATCCTCTGTTCTGTAGCTAAAATACAACTTTCTAAAATACAACTCCTGCTTCTCCCCTGTTTAAAACTCAACTGCTGGTTAAGATTCTTAACCTCTTAATACAGCTTTCAAAGTCTGAGTGATCTGGCCCGTTTCCCTCTTCAGCCTCATCTACCCAGCCCTTTAGCCACATTAACTCATCTCAGTTCTCTAACTCCCCGTTCTCTCTCAGTAACTCTCATCTCAGCTCTAACTCCCCGTTCTCTCTCAACTTTGCCTGACTACATGTCTTCTCTCTCTTCCTCACCAAAAACTCATGTTATTCTTCATATATTAGCTTGGCAGTCTAGAATAAGAAACTTGTAATTTATTGAATGTGTATGTGTGCATACACATGTAGAGACATTTTATAAGTTCATGTAAATTTTACCTGTATGATAATCTATACTACCTGACAATTTAAACTTATGCAGGTCAGAATCTATATCATTTTAATATATTCTGTATATCATTATAATGTGCTTACAGAATTAAAATTAAATAATAACAAACCAATTTACTGTTTCTTGGAAGCAATTTTTAAAAACATGGTTGTTTTTCTAGCATCTATTGGGAAATAATTGTTATATATTTTTATTATTAGCTATTTCATAGTTTAATATAAACTGTGTTTGTTTAATATATAATGTGCATGGGTGCATTTAATGCACAGGTACCTGTATATGATTACATTTAATATAATATGTACCCAATCATAAAAGAGCATCAGACTAATCATAATACACAGTCATTTTGCCATAAGGCAGGATAGAGAGAGGAAGTTTTTCTGTCATTCAACAGTAAGCAATATAAAAAATCAGACCACAGGGGAACAACATGAAAGAATTGCCAGTAGACTCAAGGGTTGCTGTAAATCTGTATGACGTCCTTTTTTGGCTTCAACCAGCAAACCATCAACAGAGTGATAACTGAACCTTCAGACTCCTGAACAAGAAGACTCCTTACCTCAGCATCAAAGCGAGGGTCCTGGTAGGCATCACTGATGTTCACTGGAAGACCTGTAGAAGCCACGAGCTCGGCAATGCTGTTATTTATCAGCCAGTCAGAGTACGATGATTTCTCCATGCTCTCTTTGAAACTATCAGAATACCAATGCAGGCAGTAAGAAAAGAAAGAAACATAAGTTTATTTGAACACAAACCCTATTAAACTACACTCAGAGCAGGATTATCTATCCTCATTAAGAGGGGATAAGTGACTTGAATCACAGAATAACAGCAAAGTCATTATCAGAAAGACAACTGCTATAATGTAAAGTAATCAAATCGATGGGTAGAAATGGTAGATTCTAGGCCCAAGGCAGGCAGACATAAAGCAGATATTTAAAATCAATAGCAGGACGGCAGTGCAGTGGCATAATAAATTCCACTGACCTCCCCAGCCCCACCCCTTAACTGAGCAGATCTGATGTTTAGCACCAAAAACAGTTGAACCCAAGAATGGGGAAAAATCAGAAAATAAATTGAGAATTTACAAAATTTTAAATGTGGCAAAAGAGTACGTCTGGACAATATGTAATCTTAGAATTATGTAACTATTTTTGTAGTCTCAGAGAATGTTTAACAACAACAAAAAACCATTTCCTACTTACAAAAATCTCACTAGAACACCAGTTTTAACTCTATAGATCCCTAAAATTAATAATTCGAATTATACTGATATTTGATTCGAACAAGGAATTTTATGCTAAATTTTGTGAACTCGCCCTTGTATCACTTTCATCGCAAACATCAACTGCATAGAAATACTCAAAGAACTAGTAAGATCCCCTCTGCCCTTCCTCCCTGCCATCTTTTCTTCTCTAGGGACACACTGAGCACTGCCAAAAGCTGTGAAAATGCATACTGACTACTGTTCAAATTAGCAATGTCAAGGTAAATCTTCATGGAGGACATCAGATTTGGGGTTTAGTAGGTGGTAACTGAAATTATGTAAATAAAGGCAAACATGCTAGGACAATATTTTCCAAACGACATCCCCTGCATTCCAGGAGATGTGAACGAGCGTACTACAAAAAGCACACTCACAACAACTCTGTTGACTTTTTAATCTAAACGTTATATGTAAGAAAAACACTGAACACTATACATAGTCATTGTTGTTATGCAATAATGTGCCTGTGTGGAATTTGTGCCCTGCTGAGAATGCCAGGAACTGACATGGAGAGGCCACTGGATTCATTAATGAGTGGGAAGCACAGGCATTATTTGCCATCATTAATATATTTCATCTGTAATGATTGCTGGTCCGCATCTGATAAATTCAACATATAGGTGGTATTATCTATCCTTTATGGCATATTAAACATTACTAGTATATAAACTTATTCTCTATGTATCACTGCCTGAAAAATAGAAGTTTCAATAAAAAGCTCAGACTTGTATTTCTCAGATGGTGCCTAAAACAAAGTAAAAAGACTGAGGACTAAAAGAGAAGATGAAGCTTTATTTTCTAAAAAATACAAAGGAAGAACAAAAATGTCCATGTTTCGTTTTCTCTTTGCTACGTTATACCTGTGAGAAGTGAAATTTTATGCTGTGCTTCAATGAAAGCAAAAATACGGGAAGAAACATGAGAATGAATGCACTTGAATGAGAATCCAACTTAATGGAGTCATTTCTAAGTTTATAAAAGCGTGTGACTGAATGCTGATCATTTCTTGCAGCGGTGGATTGGTCTGTCAATTCACTCTGTGCTGTCTGTGTACTTTATTCCATATTACAACTTTTGAAGCGTTCTGTGATACCATAGTGTGGAAAGCGCTGAGCTAGTGTGTGGTGGGAAGAGGAGCTACAGCAGGACCCTGGGGTTTAGCGGGGAAGGAACCCGAGAATGGAAGGGCTGAGGTCGGGATAGGCGGAGGGTCGGGAAGGGGGACCAAAGAAGGAACCAGTTTTATCAAAGGTTCATCAAAAACCTTTAAATGGGCCTTTCAGGATGGAAAAAGAGTTCAGCAAGGAGGAACTGGAGAGGTGAGGAGGAAAGCACAAACAGAGGAGAAAACAGCAGGAACAAAAGATACAAAGGCAGTGAAGTACAAGGGTGTGTTCTTGGAACACTGAGTCATCCGCTTTGATGAGAACATGGGATACATACTGTGGGGGAATAAGACTGAAAAGGAGTTCAGGGCTGAAAGGCGAAGTCTTTGACCAAGGAGCTGAAATCTTCGGTACAGGCCATGGGGAACCATTTAAGAATACTGAGTGGAGAAGTGACATGATTCCAGCTGTGATTTTAGGAAGCTTATCTGGGTACAATGAGCAAGAAGAACTGGCTAAGAGAGATTGAAGATGGGAGAAGTCCTTGTACACCACTGAAGTTGTGCAGGTGGAAGGTGATGATGCTGGCCCCTCACTCACGAGGTACTGCAAAAGATTCGACAGGGCTTAGTGGCCAGCGGCTTACACTTTGCTCCTGTGTGCCTGCGGAATTATCAGCAGAAATGAGATTTTGGGGGAAGAGGGAGAAGAAGAAAGATAACAGACATTCTTTGAGTCTAGAACACATTATTCATGGTTGAAAATCCAGGACCAGAACCCATATTAAATCTTCAGAACTGCAAATACTGAGACAGAGTTAGGATTATCTATGAAGAGAATAAAATAGATGAGATTGCTCAGGGAGAGAATATATAGGGAAATTTATATCTAGAGGAAGAAAGGAGAAGAAAAGGGGTAAAGAAAAAGCGAAGAAAGAAAAAATGGAAAACAAATTTGCCATCACCCATGGGGGGCCTAGGGCCAGGCTGGATGCTTTACCTAACTAATTTGTTTTGTCCTCACATAAATCTTGGCAGATAGCGACAATTCTCTACATTTTACAGATCAGCAAACTGAGGCTCGAAATTGCTAAATAGTTTTCTTAAGTGGAGATAAAATTTTCAGCTAAGTGTGACTGCAAAGCCCCAGGTTATTCTGTTTATCCTGCTGCCTCTCTTCATGGGTAAGAGCAGAACAAGAATGGTAGGTTCTCTCCTAAAGAAAAAAAATGGAGGGCCAGTCAACATCACAGAGATCTTCAGGGAGATGCTGCAGATAATAAATCAGTCTGTGGCTGCAGTGGAGGAAGAAGAAAGGGAAAACACTGGATTTAATAATCCAGAGCTTTAGGTCCCTACTTACAGAATTCACAGAAAAAATGATGATGAAAATATTCACCAATCAGGGGCTCCTGAAGACTCATCTAAATGTAAAACATGCCTAGAATCTGGTTTAATTCAGTCTGCATCTATATTAAAATCATTATAAAATTGTTGGACAGTATAGGAAGATTGACTGTGTAAGGTACTACGTACAGGCACTATCTGAGGTGGTTTCTAGAAAGTATACGCTATGGTCTCTGCCCTCATGGAGCTTGCTACCTAGGTGGGGAGATGAGAAATAAACATACCGACATTTAAACAATGGACAATTTAAATGCTTAGTTCAAATTTCAAATGAAAAATTTGTCGTGTGGCTGCGTTGACCAGTTGCCAAGTCAACTGCACCAGTCATGAAGGGAGGGAGAAACCGCTTCAGGTGTCATGATCTAGTTAAGGCTTCACAAAGGAGGTGAGATATGAACTGACTTATAGCTGGAACAGTACAAACAGATTTTCTGAAAACAACCTCTCTATTTCTTCAGTTTAATACTGCACAGGTACATAAAGTAAAGCCTGGGGTGACAGAAGGCTCAGAGGGACCGGAAGGAAGGTCGATTTGTCACTCCTAGTATTTATATCACATTCTGGCTTTTGCACTAGTTCATCTTTCCAAATCCTATTGTTTTACACTGTAATGCAGAATCATGACATTAAGTTAGAACTTTCAAAACCTTGTTTCATTTCTTCTTCTAAAAAAAAGTAATTTTGTTTCATGATTAAGACCATGAGTTTTAGAGTCAGGTATCCCTGACTCAAATGTCTATTTTGCCACCTCCTAGCAAAATGATCTCAGACAAGTTACTTACACTTCATCTTCAAAATAGGTACAATACTACTACTTAGCTATCGTGCAGACTAAGGTAATCATTTATGCAAGTATTTAGCATATTATCTAGCTCATAGTAAACATTTTTTTAAAGTATCAACTTTTCAACAACTTCTAAAGTAAATTCTACATGTGACATTACCCCTTTGTACATTTCAGCAATGTAGTGCTGTGAATTTAATCACAAAGGAAAGGGCCCAAATTATTTCTGCTTCTTGAGGGACACATCTTGCTTAAAGAATCAGTTCTTTCATAAAGGTCTTATAGGTCAACTCCTTCTGACTTAGGAGGGCTCTTATTCTGTGTGATTTCTTCCCGTTTGAAAGGGTCAGGATTGATAGTTCCTGATAGGTCTTTATTTTTTAAATAGGTCTTTGGAAGCTTAAATTAATATCCAAAATTGAATTAACCAACTTTGTAGAGCCCCCCAAATCTGACCAGAGATAACAAAGAACAACAAATCCAGCACTAAGGTTTTCAGTTTGGGCCAGAATCAAGCTAAGGAGAGTCACCACAGTTTGAAAACACAAAGATAATTTGATTACTCCACAGCTTGTGAGTACAAATGAAATCACGTCAGTGGATCTCAGCTGTCATGTGCATAACTGCAAGACCACAGACACCTCTAGGTCCTCTCACTAGCCCGCAGCCTCTAGGGAGACATTCTGTCACTTGAGGCCCCTTGTCAAAGCCTACTCCCTCCACTTGAGGGAGGACAGGCACTGGTTCCCAGAGTGCCAAAACCTCATGGACTAAGGGAAGCAAGCATACTCTCCCTAAGCTCTGCAAATTATTTTGGCCCCTAGGTCCTAAGATCATATTGCTTTTGTCTACATTGTCACAAGTTTCCTCATAAAACAGCTCCTTTAGCTTGTACCCATACCCATCTCTGTACAGGTAGCGGGTAGGGCTGAGCTGACCATTCATACACAGATGGTTTCTTGTGTGCCAACTCCTCCTTTCAGCAAAAAAGAGATGCTTATGGATCATCTCATGCAAGTAGATATCTGGTGTGAGTGTTGGTGGATATGTGTATATGTTGCCAAGACACTTACTGCACACTAGTGCACTATAAAGAGGAAAAACTGGCTTAGAATTCATAACATTCATT